TATTCGTCATAGTCCCTTCAGGGTAGTACTGGAGGGGAGAAAGCCACTGCTGAAAAACAGTTCTTAACCTCTCAACGCGAAAATTGTCTGTCAAGAATAATCCATTGACGCGTAGTTGAGGCTTCCAGATCACTGCCGCACTTTTCGGACGAAAGTTGTGGTTACACCACTTTGGAGTGTGGTTTCTTCAAGACAATCCAACTTTTACGCAGATAGCCATAGCCAAAGGCTTGAGTCGCACTCCTGAGTAGCACATCGGATCGATTCAGAATTAAAATAATTTGGGCACAGCGTCACAGTGGATTTGCTGTTACCGCAATGCTAGTAGGCTTTCAACTAAGGGCCCCACTGTTTCTTTAATAGTAGGCAAATCGCAAGTTGGCTTTTCTCTAACAATATCTGCTTCTGAACTTGTAGGCATTGAAGCTATTCAACGAGTGCTAGATAAATACCTTAACTATCGAGGTTTCGCTATATTTCTGTCCTAAAGTGGATATTGGTAGTTAGGGAATCTCAACTCCATGCTAAGATCCAAACTTGTATACAAATTAGAAATTCTGAACGGACACTGTTCGATGGGAACTCAAGCAATAAGACTTTTTTAAGGATTTTTCCGTATTCCCGCCGTTGTAGTTATTTTCAAGAAGAAATGAAATCAGCTATACACCTTCTTATGAATTTTTCTGCGTTTGTAAGATTGAAATTGAAAATTCTCGAATGGCATGCGCTTCGCAACCCCAAGGAGTTAATGTCATTAGGCACATTTCACTAAATGAAAGTTGGTCTATCACACAAACACACACACATGGTCGGATCTTATGTGTCTATATAGAATCTCATTGGAATCAACCATTTCCTTCTGAATCCAAATCTTCGAATTCGTAAAAATTGACCTACGGAAATGAAGTTTTACTCAGGACCCAAAGCACGTTGGCCTAGCGCTGATTGGGTGCAAGTTTGAAAAAATATATAATTATTTAAATAATTACTACTAAATATTTGTTACAACGTTAGTCAAGTAGCTTTGAACTTTTTTATTTTAAGTATTTTTTCTTAAATAATATAAATTTTTTAAATAATTAAATATGGAAATGTAATCAATTTTATGGTTTTCGCGTTACGTTAACAACGTTTACTGCCGTAATAGTGCAACGATAGCCTTCACACTTAATTAGCGTAATTTTTTTTTTATTTTACGACATTTGAAATAAATCCTCAGTGTAAATTGATTAGTTGCCTTATTATCGCTTGTACGGCATTAAAATGAATAAAAAAAAATATAAAAAAAAGCCGAAAATAATATAAATAAAAATGTGGCTTACTTAGATGGCGCAGAATATATGTATGCGTAATGAACGGTAGAAAATCATTGATAATTATGTTGTGGAAGTTGTAAATTATAAGGGAAAACTGGCAATATTTATGTAAATTCCAGGCAAATTAGAATTTTTTCAAGTGGCTGTTTTAATAATTACTCATACGCCCTGTAGAACATTGCGTAGGAGTATATGAAACGGAATTAAATACCTAGTTTTTTTTTAATGATTAATAATTTAAATTTAATTAATATTATTACACATATATTTATAATATAAAAAGCAGAAAATAGTAATTTTATATTTTTTCCGCATCTGATCGTCAGAATGTTTGCATTCAAATAAAATAAATGCTCCTTAGAGCGCTAAAGGCATCAACGAATAAAAAACAAAACAATTTATTAACCAATTGAAACTATTTTGGTAAATTTGGCAGTAATCTAGATAGGTAATTGTTCAAAATATTTTAAAGTATAACGACAGATAACAAGGCTGATGATGAAGCTGTGGTATGAGCAGTGGTCGCTTAGTTAAAATCACTATACTGAGCACAATCCTGAGTTTTTGATAAAAAGATATGGTTAGAGCAGTGGTCGCTTAGTTAAAATCACTATACTGAGCACAATCCTGAGTTTTTGATAAAAAGATATGGTACTATAGCCATTTTTAACCTTTTTTCTCAAACTCAACTAATTTTTTCTTTCTCCTCTTTCGTTAAACATTAAAAAAAAATTACAATAAAATACAATTAAATTAAAAAAATACCACAAACTAAAATAAATTAATATATAAATAATATTATATTAAAAAAGCAATAAAAATTAAGTTAATAACATAAAAAACAAATAGCGTAAGTAAAAATAAAAATAAAAACAAAATATAAAGATAAATAATACTAAAAAAGATTAAATAAACTAAATCAAAATAAAAACAAAATAAATAAAAATTAAAAAAATGTAGCCAGAAAATTAAATAACTGAAAAAATGAGATTAAAATAAAATAAAATAAGATGGAATAAATTATAATATACAAATAAAATTGAATTAAAAAAGCTAACAAATAAAGTTTAAATTAAAAAGATAAAAAAAAAACTAAAACAAAACAAAATTAAAAAAAAAATTAAAAAAAATGGATATACAATAAAAAATATAAATAATAAAAAAAGCAATAAATAAACTATTTTAAACTAAAAACAGAATAATTAAACACAAAAAAATGTAACAAGAAAATTAGATAAATGAAAAGAATTAAATTAAAGTAAATCAAAATAATATGAAAAAATTATAGTAAACAAATAAAATTAAATTAAAAAAAAAAAAACAATTAAAAAATAAATTAAATGGTTAAAAAACAAATAAACTAAAACAAAACAAAATTAAAATGAAAACAACATAAATAAAAATAAGATCAAAAAGTTAAATAATACAAAAAAAGGATTAAATAAACTAAATTAAAATAAAAGCAAAATAAATAAAAATAAAATAAAAATGAAACGAATGTAATAAAAAAATTAAATAACTGAAAAAATCAAATTAATATAATATAAGATAAAACTGATAAAAAAATATAATAAAAGAATAAAATAAACCAAAATAAAATAAGACTAAAATAAATTAAATATAAATTAATAAGTAAATTAAATTTAAAAAAAAATTAATTAGCCAAAAATATCAAACAAAAAATTAATTAAATTAAATAAAAATATATATAATAAAGAAAAATAAATAACAATAAAATAAAATAAATATATTAAATTAAAATAAAAAGTAATCAAAATAAAAATTAAATTAAATTAAAATAAAATAAATTTAAAGAAAAATAAGATAAACTGAAATAATAATAAAAACAAATAAAATAATTCAGATTATTAAGTCTACCGATCGATCGAAAATAGAAAATAAGTACAATAAGATTTTTTTTCGTACAGCTTCAAGACCATTTAAAAGTCGTATGCCTACCAAGTTAAGTTGATTTTTATTGACTTTGTAATAAAATATTATAACTTGTTTATACTAGATGGTGGATGTTGTAAATATTCAATATCTAAGATCTTTGTTTAGTGGTTTCTGAGACCGTTTTTGGACTCAAAGGTAGGTGGTACTCAGACACCAGAATTTTCTATCGATTTATATGTAATCATTTTCAACATTAAAACCTATTATCACGATTTTCGTACTCTTTAAAATTATCGTTTTATAAGAGGAGATGTAAACTTAGTGGGTGTTATTTATTAATTTTAATAAAAATTAATTATTGATATTTTTGTATACTTTTCTTTTATTATATAGTTTTTATTATTATTATTGAAATTAATTAATAATTAATTAAACGATATAATTAATCAAGAAAATGTTGAAGAAAGGCCTTAAAGTTATTTTAATTTATCCACTGACAATATGATCGCCGATATTATTAAAATTAATTAATACTCAAAAATTTTGTAATATAATATTTTTTTTTCAAATAAATTTCGATATATACCGACAAAACACGGCGCAAAGTTTTGTTTTGTACTAGCTTGGCGGCCGCGATAGCCGAGTGGTTAGCATTAGCATCGGAAGGCTCGGCCTCAAATCCCCGTGCGACCAACATCCAAAAGTTATGGAAATTTAATTTAGATTAAAAAAATAAGTTAAATTTTCTAATTGCGGTCGCCCCTCGGCAGGCAATGTCCACCCTTCCGAGTATATTTCGGACATGAAGTAAAGGCTCCTCTTAAAAAAACCCTCAGCCTCTCGGAGGCGGATTAGTATAAACTATAGGTCCCTCCATTTGTTAGAAAAAATCATCAAGATACAAATCACAAATTGGAGAAGGTTCTCGAAAATCGCTTCAGCGGTAACAAAGTGCTAAATATAGTATATAAATATTATGATCGCAAATTAATTCTATTCGGTTTCAAAAGACGGTTCCACCGGCATGTTGTGGCCTATGTTGGAAGCGATTAGTATGCATCATCGTTTCCTGCCTCTTTGAAAAATTTGTGTTGAATAAACAGCTTCTGTGAAATAATAATAATAATATTTATTGGCAGAAAAGTGGAGCTACAGCCCATCGAAAACTTGTGGAAGTTAGAGATTAATGTGCGTCAATCGGTGTGGTGATTTTAACGTCGACGACAAAGGTCAGCCTTGTCAACCCAAAAATTTTGAAGATGAAATACGCTGCTAAAACCAGGTTAAGCCATTGTTGCAAAACTAATGCGTTTCAGGCGTGACTTTCGCGAAAAACGTCTAGAAACGACCGAGAGGAAAAGGGTAATATTGCAAGCATGACTACGATCGGGCTCACGTCGTTGTGATGGTCAAAACCTACCAGAACACGCTGAGAAGAGATGTATTATATCAATCGTTGTATTTTGACCTTGATCCTAACGACTACTTGGTTTTTTTTTGAAGGTTTCAAAATAGTTTTCGGGGTCACCGGTTAGGGTCTTTTGAAGAAATCGAAATAATATATCAAGAAGCAATGTTGAAGAAAGGTTGTAAAGTTATTTTAATCTAGCCACTGGCACTTGAAATAAAATGAAATTATTTGAAATTGTTAAAGAAGTGCCCTTGCCACCGATCTCAAAGCACTTATGTTTATATTAAAATGATGAAAAAAAATTAAAAATAAAATATTAACAGTAAAAATTTTAGGGCATCGTTGTACACACAAATTCCTTATTCGTTCCAACTCACCTGCAATATATAGCCGATTGAGCAAATGATAAACCACAGAAAGTCTCTTATGGCATCCGCCCAATTCCACGCCTTATCCAGAAAAGATTGTGGTGGTGGGGATGGGGGCGCTGCTGCTGCTGGAGGCATACTTGATAGAGGTCCGTTAGGCAAGTGACCGTTCGATGTGCTGCCATTGGCTTGCGAATCGTTGTTGTTGTTATTATTCAGCATTTTCACAAAACTTTAAGCACTTTTATCTACTTGTTTCAATAATTCTAATGAAAATCACACAAGTATGTCTACAAGTTTGAGAGTCTTCTTTTTTGAATTTTGAATGTTGGTTGAATTTATTATTTTATTAAATTCAAACTATTTTAATGAAAATATAAAATTTATGGTTTATTAACGAAAAATAAAAATAACTCAAAATTAAAATGTTCTGTTTGCAACAAAAACAAAAAACACAGAATGTTCAGCAAGAAAACAAATTGTTTCTTGTTCACGCCGACACCGTTGAGGATTTCGCAAGGAGTTTCGAAAATACGAGTTTTTCAAACGCAAAAGCAAATCCAAATCACAAAAAAAATTTACTACCGATATATAGAACTGTTCGCAGCGCCTATCTGCGTATGCTTGTGCCCACGTGTGTATGTGTGCATGTGTATGTGTGTTTTTATTATTATATTTTTTATTTTATTTTTTTTTACGAATTAGCCTGACCGCTTGGCTTTTGGCAGTAGGAGCTTGAATTTGGTGGAAAGAAATATTGATTATTCCGCGCAACACGTCCGCTCTGCTGAGCGTAAGAAACTTTTGTGTTCACTAAATCGCTTCGAGTGTCGCTTGACTTCTCCGTTCGACTGGCAGCGCGCACCACACTTTTGTGAGTCTTTCAATTCTACTCGACCACAACAACAGTGGCAGGTAAAGAAACAACAAATATTAGCCGCGAAACAGAAATTGTATGCACGCAATGAGCGAAGCTTACTAAAGAAAACAAAAAAAAAAGAAACAATAAAAAAAAAACAAAATAGAAAACAATAAAAAAAAATACAATAAAAAAACAATTTCTGCTACAAAGCTTAGCTCAGCTGCTCAGCTGTTTAGCTGCTCAGGTAGCGCAAGTGCATTGGTGGCCGCAGCAGCAGCAGCTTGCATGCTAAAGTTGAAGCTTAAGCGGCAGCAACAGCAGCTCTAATTAAAGCCGGATTGTGACGTCAGACAGCTCTTTTCTGTGTATATATGCGTGTGTGTGGGTTTGCTTCGCTGTTATTGTGCTTCTATTTCACCTGCTTGCCACGACTTCCATCTCCTGCGCTTTTCGATGGTATCGATTTCAAGTGTTCGTGTTTTGCATGTATTTTTTATTTTTGTTGTGTTTCAGTTTCTTAACGATTTTGCTGTTTATCTTCTTTTCATCCATTTCATATTTTTTTTTCTTTTTTCCACACAGCTGTTCGTTGGTCTTTATTTTATTTGCTTTTACTTTGCGCGCCAAAATACTTTCAATTATTTCGGCGTGGCGGCAGCTCTGTCTACAACTTCAAGGTTGTTTCTTTCATTGTCCTAATTCATTTATCTATCGTTTATACATATGAACACATGTAAATGTGTGTACATTTTCTTTTCATATTTTTCCATATTTTTGTTTTCATTATTCTTCCTCTCTCTCTCTCTCACTTTTAGTTTTGTTTCATTAGTCTTTAATTGTTTACTTCTGGCATAATTTGTTCCGTCAGGCAAATCGTTAATTAAGTGGTTTTTCGTTTGCTGTACATACACACATACATACATACATTTATATGTATGAACGCACTTGGCCCACTGTTATTTTTTTATTTGTTAATTTTTATTTGTTTTCCTTTAATTTGTTTACATTCGCTTGCCGCTGATCTTTGCTAATTTATGCATAATTTGCTAATAAATAAATCTGAAATTTGTGTAGGAAGTAGGTGCTGAGGGAGATTCTAAGTTTATTAACTGTTTTCGTTGATGTATTTCCTTCTTAAAGCATCACTGCTTTGCAGAGCTTAAAGCTTGGCTCTACTGAGTTGTTTTTTTTTTTCTTCAAATTTAAGTTGCGCATCCTATTTTTTTGTCACCTTACTAAGGAAGAAGGTCCTTGCGACTATAAGCTTATGGCAATTTGACTTCGAGCCGTTCGCTATTCTTTCCACAGTTCGCCACCAAGTGATTTCTAGTTTTACTCTATTCAAGATTTCCATCCAAGTGGAAGTCTTTCTCTATTACTGGTTTCACCAGCAGGCCTCATACCGCTTATCGTTCCATCGTCAACCGTAAGCAAATAACCATTAATTTTCGGCTGAACCTCTCTTTCAAAGACCCTCAAAGCCGATTCATGTGATACTGTCAGTGCTCGCGCATGTAGAGTTTGGTCTTCGTTCGCCGAACTGTTGGCAAGTGTGATTCAGTGTTGGATTTCCAAGCTCCACAGTGTCAATACTACTTTCAAGATAGACGAAATTATCTAGGACTTTCCAGTTAAGATGATAAGTTATGATGACTTTCCAGCTAATAGTGACGTGGGAGCCGAGTCGGGAATGCGATGACTGTTTATTTGATGACAGAAGACATTTCGTCTGGCATTCGTTCACTACCATACCCATATCATTTGCTTCTTTATCCAGTTTAGAGATAGCAGAGCTCACGAAAAGGTTGCTAAGGACAATAATATCACATTGTACACTCTTATAGATGATTGTACCTTCCCTATTCAACTCTGCACCTCTTATTATTTCCTCCAGCCATAAATTAAGAAAGTCACACGATAAGGAATCCCTCTTTCGAAAAATTTCTACGACCTTTTTTCAATAATTGGCGCATTGTGAATATCTGGTCAATGGTTCATTTATCAGGTCTAAAGCCACCCTTATAAGGTCCAGTCCGGGGCCACCTTATTTTAATAGTTCACCTGGTAAGCCATCGGAATTCACTGCTTTGCGACCAATCGTTATTCAAGCTTCATTCAAGTCGGATATTGGCACGTCTTTTCAGTGCTGAAGGTTATGCGAGAATATTTTACGGTATTGTAACCTTTTCAAGTAATTTTCGAGCATTACCACTTTCGGCCTACTTCTCAATTTATTCATACTCACGTATCTCGTTCGTTCTTGAAATCACGTTTCACAGTTACCTTATTCCAAGCTCGAAGATGATTATTCTCGAAGAGAAATGTAACTGAATGTGATTGCAGCTTTTCGACGCCGAATTTTTTCATTGTGATCCGAGTCGACGTCAGGCCCTAGGAAGGTACACACATCCGTCCATTACAACATGGTCACTTTCTCTGGTGCCACAGATAACCATATTTTGGGTCTTGGCGAAGTCAATCAGCCGCAATTTGCTTGGGAATGTTTCATTGAGGATGTTGCATGTTTCGACTGTTTCGACGGAGATACCTTCTTTACCCGCCCTTTTATTAAAATCGCTAAATACGATTTTTACATCATGAATAGGTGCGTCCTAAGCGCTCATAGAAAGTATTATTGATTACAACATCGGAATTTCGCAATGTGATTAAGAGTTTCGCTTCGATGCGGATTGTGGCGAAGCCTTCATCTACCGTGGTAAATGCCTGGACTTGGCGAAGGAATCTCTCTCCCACCACGAAGGCGGCAAATTTGAGATCCTTCATATGACTGTTTTAGTAAATTTCACAAGAACCCACCTTTTTCCGTCCTTGTCCCGTCCATCGAGCTTCTTGGACGGCGGTGATGTCAGCCATTATTTTAGCAATGACATCAACCAGCTGAGCATCGGCACCATGAAATGATCGGACAGATCGATCGATAACACTTAGTTTTTAAAACGTTTGCAGTGGTCGTCAACAAAAGTGGAGTCTCTTATCCGAGGTGTTCTTACCTTTTTCATTGGATCTGGTTTCTTCGTGACAGATCTCAAGCCCAGCGCACAACTTCGCTAGATGAGTAGCCGCTTGCTGCAAGACCGATGCCCCCCTCGCAACTGCACCTCTGGGGACCAGACTTTGTAAATAGACTTTAGCGAACACTTAAACCGTAATGTCGTTGTAGCTCCACTGAAGCTCCCTTCAGTGTGTGGAGCATACGGCTCTTGTACAAAGAAGAGCTTTTATTGTAGGCATATCACCACAACAACAGGGGATTTGGTTTAAAGAAAAGTAGTCATCTATAACTCGCCTTCTCTAAATGCGATTGGACTACGCCAACGGGAAAAGTGTTGATCACTTAACTCATTAACATTAAATCATGCCCGATTTCGTTCCGATAATTTTGATGCAAAAGATGTTCCACGGTGTGAAAGGCCAATGGTCGAAAATATTGATAAAACAGTGGAATGCGTCGAGTCTGATCGTCATGCAAAAAACTATTTGCGACCATTTGAAAGAGGTTGGTTACACAAAGAAGCTTGATGTAAGGGTACCAAAGGCGTGAACGACAAAAAATTTCAAAAAACAAAAGAAATCCTTCTCTGAAACGGATGGTAGTTGGTGATGAAAAGTGGACCACTGACAGCAACGTCAAGCGCATACGGTCATGGCCGAGGGGCGGTGAGTCGGAACAAAAGGTCTGAAAGCCAGAGTTGATGGTCCGGAAAGGTTTGTTGTGTGTTTGATGGGATTGGTAAGAAATCATTCACCATGAGCAACTTCTCTATGGCCAAGCACTTAATTCGGACTTGACTTTTCGTAATTGGACCGTCTGAAGGAAAAAAACGCCCAGAAGTGTGTTGTGTTTCATCGGTACAATGCCAGACCACACACATCATTAGTGACTCGCCAGAAGCTCTGAGCGCTTAGTTGGGAAGCTCTCATACATTCACTTTATAGTACGAACATCGCTCCATGTAATTACCAACTATTATCTTCTATGGCGAACGATTCGGTTGGTGGAGAATTGGCCTCAAGAGAAGCCTGTGAAAATCGATCGTCCTAATTTTTCGCAAATAGGCACAAGGGCTTCCATGATAGAAACATAAAGACATTACCTTCACAATGCGCAAAAGACGGATAATTCGCACTGCGGTAAATAATTTAAATTTAATACAAAAACAATGAAATACTTTTTACAACACCGGTTGGGGTGCGAGCGACGGCAAGCAGTATCTTTGCATAACTAAGGCAGGAGGTCACCAATAATAATATTTTAATAATATGCCAATTATTAAAACAACCAAAATTTATAGTTGGAGGTGCCAAAAAAAAAGAACAAAAACCAATAAAATATTTGTGGTTTTAGAATTTGAAATTAAATAAATACAAGCACATAAATATATATGCACATATATATGTATGTATGAATGCAAATTGCTTAGTGTTAGATTTTTGCGAATTTTTCTATTTATGCTTCTTGACCTTGCAGCAGTCTCAAGTGCGAAAACAGGATTTGGTTTAACATTCACCCATTTTATTTATGCAAATTTTTTTTTAACTCGTCTCTTATATTCTATTTGTGCTGGGGCATTTGAAATTCTAATATCATTTATGGCGCTTTAAAAACTGTTCTGGGACATATTTTTTTGTATAATTTTTTATGCCAAAAATTATTTCATAACATTTTATCTGAAGAAAAATAAAAAAATTTAACGAGATTTTTAGGCAAATACATATGTACAAGAACATATTTTTAAAGAAAGATTATACAATTTATTCAAATTAAATATTCCATATCCGATAAAGTGAGGAAGTAATTTTTTTGCATTTGGGTATAAATACAAAACTTCTTGGTTGTGAGTCGCTTGAGTGTTTTTTCATCAGACTTGTCTTAAACTTTTAGTATGAAAAGTTTAGAAACAAAATTCAAAATTGGTAAAATATATGTCATACCAAAAAAAAGGACTAATTTAGCTCTGCTTTTTCTCACTGATTAAATGGCAGCTTTAGTAGGAGGTGATATGAATGGACAAAGCTGAGACTATCTTCAGCATGAGACGGATAAACGTACTAAGCAGCAGGTACTACTAAAGTATAAGGGATTTCCTATTGATCTAGACAGGATTAAATCATCAAAAAAGTAAAGCTCTTGGTCAACTAAAACATAAATTAACTCCGCCACGTAGAATCGGCTGCCTTGAAACGAAGCAGTACCAACCCGAAACGAAAGTGATAGTTGACGATATCCAAATACTGTTCAACTTAAAATTACTGGGCGCGACATTCGTTATCCTGCACTACTTCACTCCTCAAGCGATTGCGATTGCCGACAAAGTTCTGGACTACAACAAATTCCTAGAATTGCTAGTCGTCAGCAACTGGCGAAAAGACCTTTGTCTGCACTCAACTTACAAGACAATAATTCGGATGGTAATTAATTATGCCGCACAAATCAGCACCTCGGCGAATAGCGTGGCGTGAATGAAGAAGCTAGGAGCTTTCAAAATATAATTTAAGGAAGATCTTCTAAAATACTAACGTAAGGACCATCTTTGCAAAGATCTAGTGGCAGCTGAATTATCCTCTAGGCAAACACGTAGTAGGAGTACTTAACCTAATAGACTCTGAGCAGCACCACGAAACAGAAATGCTGGACAACGTGACTCACCAACGGGTCTCAAATACCAAGAGAGTGTGTACACAGCTTTATAAACTGTCTTCCTATAAATGACATACTCGGATTGCAACCAGGATGACTCACCGACAGACCCTACATGCCATATACAGTCTGTCTACATCTTTATAAACTCTCCTTCCGGAAATGACTCACTCGGATTGTAATAACAACCAATAGCAGACGAAGATCTCACTGGACAGGACGACTCACTAAAAGAGAGTAAGCCCGCACTTTAATAAACTCTCTTTCCATAACTGGCAAACATGGATTGCTACTCCCAATTATAGCACGCGAAGAGCTCGCTCTACTCTCATATAGGTCCCAAATGTCAAACACAGCGAGTCCTCTCACATCTTTCTAAACTCTCCTCCAGTAAACGGCGTACTCGAACTCCAGCCAACATCAATGGCTTTGGAAAACTAGAGTAATACTGGTTCAATTAAAGTCTGGTTATAGTAGTAGACTCAACATCTACCAGTCGAAAATTTATTCCCTTTGCGAGTCCATTAAAACTCATTCATCTAACACCCACTTTCTCTGGTCAGAGACCTACGAAACAGTTAGTTTCCTGGACCTCACTTTAGATGAGCTCGACAACATACGACTAATTTTGCCTGCTTCTAGACAGGGTTAACCAAGCCGCTACAACAATAACAAGAAATAAAAAATAAAATATAGCCAAGTTACCAATAGAACCCCAGTCACATCCTTTATTTCTCTGTTCGAAGCCGATTGGTGACACCAAGTGAAAACAAAACTCTCGACATCCCCTTGATCTTCCTCTTATTTACTCTGATAGTACCGAAAACTTGCCCAACGTTTTTGTCTTGCCGCACTTCATGATCTACTTCGCCACTGTTCCTTTATTTCCAACTTAATATCTACGTATATCTCATAAATTTCATAGTTCTCGCAAAATTTCTCTCCAAAACTCCTAATGATAACTCATCAAGTGTTGTCAGCGAATATCGACGCCCCCCTCGCAGCCGCATCACCGGTGACCAAACTTTGTAATTAGAATTTAGCGAACCCTTTTGAGCGTATGGAGCTTACAGGTTGGTTACCGGATCTTGTACCAAGAAAGGCTCTTATTGGAGGTATATCACTACAACTCCAGAGGATTTTGGTCTAAACAAAGTAGTCATCTCTAACTAATGTTCTATAAATGATCACTTAACTCATGAACAGTAAATCATGCTCAATTTCGTTCCGACAATTTCGGCCGATTGTCGAAAATCTCGATATAACAACGAAATGGGTCGAGTCTGGTCGGCTTCGTGGTAGAAAGTAATGAGCGATTTTTCGAGCTTTTACTACACTGTCTAAGGAGATAAAAAAATGCATCATTATAGGGACTCCTCGTCAGTTGACATCAGCTAGATGCTCTTCTACTCCAATTAATTCATGAACAGAAGGAAAAGGATGAAACCTCTGTTGAAAAGGAACTCGAAAATTCTTCACGTATGGATAAAAGCGCCGGCCGGTAGAAGTCGGCGGAGGGTCTTACGCCCTAAGCTATTTTTCGCCCCAAACACAATATGAATCCCTTCGTATGCTTTTCTGACATTTCCCATGTAATCTCTTTCTAAAATTCCATCGGCCGTTGACTGGTCGCTTAAGAATATCAAGCAGCACATCAGAAATATATAGGGGCAAGACCTCAGGCGGAAATCTCTTCAAATGTTATAACGCGCCAATTAATATATATACAAATTATTAAAAAAAAAGTCACACGTTGGAAAGTCTCCTGGTCCAAAACCTCGTTAGGAAGAACACTAACGAAGGCGAATATAAAAGCGCCGAAGAGGTGTGGTGTTGTGTATTAATCGCTTCCTCATGGCTCGTTTCCATGAATAGGGGCATGAGGAATATTTCGAGCCCCCCCCCTCCCCCTTTAACTTGTGGTATGTGTCTAGATGTTTTTCCAACAAATGGTGGCACCTATAGTTTGTTCTAAGCTTCCGCTTCCAAACGGCAGATGGATTCTGATGAGGAGCTTTTACTTCATGTCAGAAATTTGCTCGGAGGACTTGACATTCTGTGCCGAGGGGCGACAAATGGTGGCACCTATAGCTTGTTCTAAGCTTCCGCTTCCAAACGGCAGATGGATGCTGATGAGGAGCTTTTATTTCATGTCAGAAATTTGCTCGGAGGACTTGACATTCTGTGCCGAGGGGCGACCGATATAAGAAAAATTTATTATCTAGAATTTTTGGATTTCGGTCTAACCAGAACTCGAAAACTGGCCCTTCTTTAACAAAGACTTTTATGCAGAGTTGATTGGTTGAAAGGGCAGTAAGGGAACCTGGTCTCAAGCGGACGTACTTGAGCTGTTAGGTATGCTCAATAAGCCAAATATATATATACATATATGTATGTCGTTCCACTCTAGGACGTGGGGAGTTTTCACAGACTGTCTGCGTGGGGTTTTTGTGTTTTGCCAGATACGAAAGGAAGAAAGCAAGCTTCAAAAATATCTTGCTTCATACCATTAACTAGCACTAGGGAAAGTAGTAAACTTAAAATTTATGTAAATTAAGTTTTTTTATCATAATTTTTAAATTTTTTTTAAATTTTTTAATTAAATTTTTTTTTTATTTTTATTTTTTTTTTTTTTCGAAAGCGAGTATGCAGTTTTGGCAGAAAATCACACAATTGAATAATTAAGTCCACTTCTGCATAGTTGTGGTTCACTTCAACAAACTGGTTATGCAAATCTCCTCAGACACTACTAATAACGCAGCAGCAGCACGTCGAAGCTAATGCGAAACAAAAACAATCGGAAAAAAATCTTTAATTAGTAGTTAACTACGCTCGAGGCGACGACGTGAGTCTAGCGTTTCGAGTCTAAGAATCTGCAGTGTGACGCGCGTGCCGCTGGAGTGAGTTCAAGAAACTCCTTAGCAAACTAAAGGTCAGCAGCTATAGGAATTTTAACACTAGTTGTTTTTGTAATATATTTTAGATCTTATTACGTGGCTATTCGTTTATTTGTTTCAGTGTTTGCTTTTTATTTTATTTGTTTCTCAGTTTTTTTTTTTTGTTTAACTATTTTTGCACACTCTTCACTGGGTTAGTGGGTACAGTCAAATATAGCAAAAATATTATTTTATTTTTTTAAGTTATTTTATATTATTTATTGTTCTAGTTCCTTATGAATTTATGTTGTTCTTTCTGCAAATCTTTTTTTTTTTATTTTTTTATTTTTTTTTGTTTTTTTTTTTATTGTTTGCTACTGTTGATCACATCCACACATATTCTTATTATTATTATTATTTTTTTTTTTTTGTAAATTCGCGTAATTTTAATTGACTATTATTTCCATCGCATCGAAAAGCAGAAAAATCTAACATCAGGATTAATGCTGGCGCTGTTTACGCCAGAAGCTTCCTTTCACAACTATTTGTGCCGGAGTGTTCTTAACCGAATATTGATTTTATTACATATATTTTTGCGAATTTATTGTTATTGTAGCAATTAAAGCCGGAAGCCGTTTTTGTCCAAGATTATTAAAACTTTTACATTTTTTTATTTTCTAATTTACTTAATAATATTTTTCGCAGCTTCTTTATTTCACAATGAAAATATTAACTTCTCGTTGCTCGTCAAAATGAACGGTATCGATTTGACATTTTGAAAAGGTTGCCATTTTGGTAGAAAGTAAATATATTTTGGGACATTTTATTACAGCTTTTCCTCGCAAAATAATGTTAAACACATCCAAAACGAGGTGTGACAATTAAGTAATGAGACTGATTATATTGCCACGATTGAGGTAACCCTGCGACCTTGAAATTGCCTTTCCCTTCTCCCGGCATCCTTCTCCTATGCTTTGATATATTTTCCATCGCTCCATCGAGTCTACTATAGCCAAGTACTCGAAAGATTGCTAAAATGGGTCAAGAGGGACAAGGCGCCGTGCCACACCGCACAGTGTTTGGCCGCCTTATTCGACCGATATGTCACCCTGTGACTGTTTTTGTTCCATAGAATAAAATCGGTAATGAAAGTAAGCCATTTTGAGTCGATTGAGGACATCCAGGCGGCCGAGACGAAAGTACTCGCAGACATCCAGAACGAAGCGTTCCAGAAATGTTACGAAGCGTGAAAAATGAACTGGAATCGTTGTAAAGCTGCCCAAGGGGACTACTTTGAAGGGGATGGCAGAGTTTTAGAATAATTTTGAAATATACAGTTATTATGGAAACAGCCTCATTACTTAATTGTCATACCTCGTATATACAAAAATTTTATTCTTTACCTGCCAAGTCAGTCGCCACGTCCCAAACAAACTCCTCGAGTTTCTGGCGAGTCATCATTATCACCGTCTATTGTCTGGCGTTGTCCTAATGAAAAAAAATATCCCTCCCGTTGGTCAAAGCTGAACGCTTCTGGGCGATTGCTTCATTCAAGTCCAATTACTGACAGTACAGACCCGAATTGAGAGTTTGGCCATAGGAGCACAGCACATACAGGATGATTCCTTGCCCATCAAAACCAACACACAACAGAAACTTCCTGGCCGTGAACTCAAGCTTAGACTAGACGATTTTCATTATTTTATCGACATTTTCGGCAACCCAGGCTTACACACTGTGGAGCATATTTTATATCATAATTACAGGAATAAAATCGACTAAAGCGAAATAGTATATTTTTTGACTATTACAGTTATGGTCCTGATCATAAGCAGATTCACATTTTCAGCTGCCTGACTTGCTGTTGCGCTTTTATTGAGGAAAACTATTAGGTAATAGCGTATTTTCTCTTAGTCACATTAGCCGAGCGGTTGTCAGACGCTTTGCCGTTTGAAGAATATCATTAAAAAGCGCTCTGGGGCACAGAAAGGTTTCTTCAAGATCTTCTGAACAGTAGCCACTTTAGAGAAAATTTATATTAACTATTCTTGAGTTTTGATGGAAGAAAAGCTGGTTTGCGGAGAAGCACTCCATAAAGTAATTGTTTGGGAAATGAAGCGGGAGCAACAATCCTTGGCGTGAAAAAAATCTCGAGTCCAGTATGAAGAGCTGTATAAAGACCCGACTGTAGAGTGGGAAGGAATAGGAAGATGGTATGTCACCTTTATCGATTCAATTCTTTGTTTTATGGTATATTTAGCTGGTTCAATACATTTTGCAAGAGTTCGTTAGAAATCTAAGTTATATTTGAATGAAATAAATGAAGAAAGATTTATTTAAAAAATTTTTTATATATGTTTTCTACTTTTTCGTAAAATCTCCTCTAAAAATCACTTCAAACACACGAAGTTTTGATTATAATAATAATCTTAAAATTGCAATAATTCTCGTTCTGCATAGGGACAACCTTTATTAGCTTTTGTTACAACATTTGACCCATAAAAAAGGAGTTTAGTGGCAGCTCTTTGCATAGCGAATGATGACATAAATCGCGTCTGCGCATTCATTTTGTTGTGCCGCCAGGGTATTTATTTGTTGCTGTTTTCTTTTCAGTGCTACCTTACATACTTTGCAGCCCTTTGGGTCATAAGGGTTTGTTTACTTGTTGAAATGACTCATTGCATTGAATGTGGGGGTTGCGAAAAAGTCCTGTTAGCGTACAGTAAGGAGCTGAAATATGTGTACAATCGGATAAAATTTGAACATTAAAAAAAAATCAATTCAAAAAACAAAAAAAAAAAAAATAAAAAATAAAAATTCTACAAAAAACGCGAAGTAAAATAGAAAATATATTTTATTATACATATATACCGGAAGTCATGTGTGGAACTAAGCATTTTTTTTTAAAGATAAATATAGAATAGAGTTGATCATCGATTGTGAGATATTTTACTGATATTTTCAAAATTTCGTAACGGACGAGCTCCTCCTTTGTTGGATTTAAATTATCAGTATTCTTCTAAATTTTTTTTTTTTTCAAAAACTGGACGATGGGCGAAACAAGGACGCATACGAGTAGATCCTTGTAATATTTGCTTCAGCTGCCATATAAAGGAGCGCAAATTTGGTGACAGGATTTGTGGCAGGAGGAGAGTTCGTCGCCGATGTAAAAACGTCTAGGCACAATCCACAACAAAAGCATAATTTTTCAACATATCGAAGGGAAGGTTATTAGAGCCCGGATCATACTTATGAGCGCTGCAACGCCCCTATTTCAAAACTGTGCTTGGCTACTTTAACGCCTGGGAGAGCACAGAATGTAGCTTCGGCTCAACTGTCGAAAAAATAAAACTCAATGACTAAACAAATGGGTTAAGATCAATTGACTTCGTCGGTACACAAGAAAATTCAGTAATCTCCTTAGCTTAGATCGAAAAACTCACCGCAAGATCGATAATGTTGTGATAGATGAACGTCATGTGTCCAGTGTTCTTGGCGTGCGTACGATGTAAGAACCCAGCACCCACTCCCAGAAAAAGACATGGCGACTTATAGAAGATTTCAAGATCGGAGCATACTCTTGTAAGATCCAGAAGGTGATCTAGTGAGTGATGCCCAAAATGTACCGAATTTATGGAAGGCATCTTCGGCGGCCGCGGTAGCCGAGTGGTTATCATTGCGTACTGCCATTCGGAAGGGCCCGGTTCAAATCTTGGTGCCGTATTAACACCCAAAAAATTATTAACGTAAATAAAAAATTAAGCTAAATTTTCTAAATGAGGTCGCCCATTGGCTGGGAATGTCAAGCCATCCGAGTGTATTTCTGAGATGAAATAAAGCTCCTCATAAAAAACCATCAGCCGTTCGGAGGCAGCTTAGTACAAACTGTAGGTCCTTCCATTTGTTGCAAAAGCATCAAGATGCAAAATCATATATTCAGCGTCTACAAAGCGCCGTTTATATTTATATATAATATATATGTCTTCAGCATGATGGAATAGCAGTGAAAATGGAACACCAGTAGTTGCTATTGGAAACGTTGTTTCAATTATCGACTATCAAAAAGCGGTGAAGCCGATGGATTACCGATAGTCTGCGCCGATTACTGTAGGATAAGCCTCCTTAACATCGCATATAAAGTCCCATCGAACATTTTGTGTGAAAGCCTAAAGCCCGCCGTCAACAAACTGATCTTCAGACCATTGAACAGATATTCACCATGCGCCAAACCTTGGAAAAGACCCGTGAAAAGAGGATCGACACACACCATATTTTCGTCGATTTTAAGAGGATTTCGACGGCACGAAAATGGGTCTCCCTCCACGCAGCTATGACTGAATTAGGTATCTCCGCAAAACCGTCAGAATCGGGAAGGAACTCTTCGAGCCGTTCGCTACCTAACCACGATGCGGTCTAGGAGATTACTCATATTAATATATATATTGATTAATATGTGCTCCAAACTGGAATATAGAAAATACAATAATATAGACATTATTGGCCCCAAATCACCGCGCCGTGTTTTGATTTCTCCACACTGAATAAGAAAGAGAAGTGTAAGCGAGAGAAAGACAAAATGTCATCAAATAAACAGTCGTCGCGACTTGGCCCTTTTGACAGACATAACTTTGATGTCGTTGAGAACTTCGTTTAACTTGGAACCAGTATTAACACCAACAACAAAAAAGCTCTCCCAACGAACGAAAATCAAACTCAACAAATCCCTCATCATACCCGTACTGCTATATGGTGCGAAAGCATGGACGATGTCAACATCTAATGAGTCGGCGTTTGGAGTTTTCAAGATAAAGGTTTCGCGAACGATTTATTATGGTCCTTTGCGCATTGGCAATGGCGAATACCGCAGACGATGGAACGATGAGTTGCACGGTGATATTGACATAGAATGAAGAGACAGCGCCTACGCTGGCTAGGTCATGTCGTCCGATTGGATGAAGGCACTCCAGCTTTGAAGGTATTCGATGAGGTACCTGGCAGGTGGAAGCGGAGGAAGAGGAAGACCTCCACTAGGTTGGAAGGACCAGGAGGAGAAGGATCTAGCTGTACTTGGTATTTCCAATTGGCGTCAAACAGCGCAAAAGGGGAAATAAAGGCAGTCAGCGTCAGTAAAGAAGAAGAAGAGGAATGCTAATAGAAGTAGTCATTTATTTCAAGGTCATACTAATGTCATAATTAAGTAATTCGGAATTATCACCAATACGTGTGGAAATAAAAAAATAATAATATTAAACACTTCCAGCAGTCAAAATCACGTAGTTCCTATTCATATGTACATACATACATACATACATACACATACACATAATAAATCTCTTAACACTTTGACTTTTATTTCCTTAAATTACGCAAATGTAAGGTAAAAAAAAACAAAGATTTGCAAAACTACCTGATAAATAGCACGGAAGCAGAACGCTAGCCGCCAGTGGTTTTTGCGAACAAAGACACTTTAAGACACTTGAAGACACTACACATACACAGATTGATGATGGCCGGAGAATGAGCTTAGGAATAACGGCATGAGTGATTAAGATGAAATTTACTAAATCTGAAAGAGCATTGATTTTACGCCGATATTTTACCATTCTTATTCACTTATTTTCCATATTTTTGTTTTCGTTTCTTTTATTTTTATTGTTGAAATTTATATGCTTCCTCTATACTTATCTACGACGTTTGCGGAAGTCAAATAGGTTGGATAGACCACATACAGGC